GTAGAGCAGTGTTATTATTAATTTTAGTAGCACAGAGGAGTCCTAGTCATGGACCAGGCCTCAGGAGTAAAGCCCGGTAGCTGCACCTGCTCTGTACTCCTGACACCTTAACAAACCAGTGAGGCTTCCTGACAGACCACTCTGCCTGACTGGCTGAGGAAGCCAGCAGGCCAGTTCTTAAACTCTGGAGCAGCAGTAGCTACCTGGCTGCTCAACACACAGGCCCACTGATTCTCTGCCTCATCTTTTGCCACACCCTGCTCCTGCTCTGCTCCTCCACAGATCCAGCCCAGACCTTGCCCTGTACCCAGCCTTGTTTCTGTCCTGTCCCAGCCTTGCGCCTGCCTCAGAACCAGCCCTGCTCCTGCCTTCCCTGACATCTGATAAGTTGGATCCGACCCTTGGCACTGACTCCTGACTCCAACACTGTCTCAACCCTAGTCTCTGGCATTCAGACTCTGACTTGGGTTCTGACTTTCGGCCCTGGTTCCTGATTCTAATCCTTTCTCAACCCTTGGCTCTGGCTTTCAGACTCCGATCACCAGGCCTGATTCCCGTTCCAAATACTAGGCTTGACTCCTGCTCAGACAACTAGGCTCGATTGCTTAAAACAGGATCCGCTGACAATAGTATCCCATTGTGCAAGGCACTCTTTAATAACACACTCCTTTTATTTGGATCTCAGAATTATCAGGCTGACTTTCTTTTAACAGATAACACACTCAAATCTGCATGCTAAGCAGCAGCATCTGACAGACAGTGGAATAAAACTCTTCAAACTTGACTGATTTTACAAGAAAGAGAAATATTTCCAAATTGCTTAGTTAACACTTGTGAGAGAGGAGAGGCATTGACAAGGGTAGCAGTAAAGGCTGAGACATGCCTCTCACTACAAAACATGATGGAGTAAAAATACGGCAGAATTAGAATAATGAAAAGAATGGGTGAGAAATAAACACCTGATCAAACTAACTACAATTAATTAAACTCATGAATCATCTAAAATGGGATGATCACAACCATTGTTTGATGGTAAGCAACTGTGCTGGAGACACTCGCCCTTGGGGAGCTTTGTTTTGACAACTGGGAAGGCGCTAACTTGTGATGTAGGAATGTAGGCCCAGATCACCAGAGATATATAGCCACCCAACTCCCACTGATTTCAATGGGAATTAGGCACCTAAAGACATTTGAGGATCTGGGCTGTAGTTCCTAGATCTTGCATGGCCACATGGTGCATTTCCTGGAAGAACTGGCTACTGAAACTGCCTTATTACATCTTGTAGTCTGTGATGATGAACTTTACCACCAGAGCAAAATAATCTACCTAGCTGTTCTCAACTGAACCTGGGAAAAATATCAGACTTTCTGTGATCATCCTGGACAATCCCAGACACTTTTAAGGTATACACAGTAATTATCTCTTTCAACAAATCAAATTACAGGGTAATGCATAACAGTACTTACCAACAATTACACCCAGTAATAAGATAGGCAGCAAAGACAGAACATAAAAATATTTGTGCGATGATTGCTTTTGAACTTCCTGCGAAAAGTTTCCTAATGTGACCTAATGCAAAAATAGACAGCTGTATTAGTGGAATGTAGCTACTCTAGTCCATGTTTGCAGAAGATCATGTTCAATGGATAAATCAACTGGTCTCTTCAGCTGAAGTGATGAACCCTGACTAGGTAAATCATTGGGAAGGAAGAAGCAGTTTGGAAAAACATATATGAACTGATCCAAACATAACATTTACCATATCTTAAGTTAAACCAAAAGAACAAAACTGTGCTGTGTGAAAAATGTAAAACTACTGACAATGAGCCAAATGCTGCCATCACTTATATTTCAGGCTAGCCTCACTGAAATTAATGTGGTGTAAGCAAAGGCAGATTTTGACCTCAAACCAGCCAAATATCTGCACTCACCAGAATCACTGCAAACAAAAATGTTGTCATTTTCAAGAGAGTGAAAACAAGTTTTCACAGACAAAAACTGCTCTTTTCACTACAGATGTCTACCCTGATCAGCAAAAAGACAAATGTAAGGCTCAAGTCAACACCAAAGAAAAACAACATTTCTGGTAGAGGCCTTGCACCAAACCTAGGTCATTTCCTTGCACTTACCTAGGCTCACACCTCTGTAGCCCAGCCCCTGGATTACCTCCCCACCCCCCATGGGGAATTACTTCAGCCAATGGAGCTTCACAGTTACAACCAACCACACCCTGAAGGTGGCACAGATGGCATAGCTGCAAAGCATGCATCCTGCCCTCTTCTCATTGGTTCTGCTCCAGGGAGGTTGAGAGGAGCAGCACTTAGTCCCTTGAAGTCCTCATAAGACACTGTGATAGCTCACAGGTCTTGAAGTTTTCATATAGCTTATCAGATACACATGGACAAATCTTGCAAGTTCACCTAAACCTGAGCATGAGTAGCATCACAGCAAGACAACTTGGCTGTGAAATATTTTAGGTAAGATACGTTATAATGCTATTTCACTCTTTAATTATAAAGGATATCTATGATCAGCTAATTAACATTTTAGGACCTATTTTATAAGCATAAAAAACAAACAATGTTAAATCACTAGGGAAAGAATTTTTACTTACCCAAACTTTCACAGTGGATAACTCAATCTTGCCTGGTTTTTCCCTATCGACTTTGCACAGTATAGTAGTACGATCTAGGGTTTGGGTAATATTTTGAACCCTGAAGATGATAGGTTCCAAATGTATATCATTCATCATGTGAGTGAGAGTGACGCCAATCTCATTTTCAGAAATATTTAAGTTGTCATTTTTTTTCTGAAGAGAACAAATTTGAAATGGGAAACTATTATTAAATGTGGTAAAACTTTAAACTATCATATGTGAATTTTTGTTTGATTTTTTTAAAAACTTACATATAATTTTAATTCCAGATGTGGGTCCATCTCAATATGCAGTTGATAGTCAATAAATATAGGGTCAGGATAATATTGTAATTGCATACAAGGTATAAGGACAGTTTCCACGTTTAGTGACACATCAAAACATTTATACTCTTCTGAAAAGCTAACATCTGGTGTTAGGAAACTATATGGAGAAGTACTTCCAGGACATCCAGAGACCTAGGAAAAAAAACAGCAAAACTCTCAGTGCTGAAGTACTCCAAGGTACATACAGTAAGAAACTGAGGCACTCAATAGCACTTTTAAATCCTGCTGACATCACATGGGAAACTGATAAACCTTCTACTTAAGAGCAATACTTTGTGTACTATATTTGAAGTAAGTTCTGTATTGGTCATTTTTGTTCTTTTAAGCACCAATCATAGCACCAGCCATGCACTCTTCTAAGGCTGTATCTATGTTGGTGATGGAGAGGGTTGCTGGAATGCAAGGCCTTTCAGGAAGTGAAGAAACGGAAAAATCGGAGGGAGAATCCTTAGAACTTTAAGGCCTTGGAGAACTATGCATGGGAATTAACTATTTTAGACCTTGACTGCAAATATTTAAACACATACATAATTTTACTGATATGAGTAGTCCCATTTAATTCAATGGGACTACTCACATGAGTAAAGTTAAGCATGTGCTTAAGCTTTTGAAAGAGCTTAAGAACAAAAATTATTCCTTTAAAAACACATATTTTGTTATTGCAAAGGAGTCCAAGACTTACATTAAATTTGAATCTCTGGTCATCTGAAATAATGATACTGTCTGTCACATTAAAATTTCTCCCAAAGAGGGTTATTTTGCGACCGCCACTATAAAAAAAATTTAAAAATTGAGGTGTTAATGTTAGTTTTTCCCCACAAATAAATACATATCTTGTTTTCCTGTTTACATTTCAAACATTTTATTCAAGAAGGAACTACTAGCCACAATGTATAACGGTTTGCCTTGGTAACAGTAGATAAAATAAAAACAAGTTGCAGAGCTAGGTAATTTGTATGACTGATTTTCCAGTTACGTTGAAAGTACTTTCAAAGATACGATATAGTTACATGCCTCTTTCATGGTGCAAATCCTGTTTGCTCACGAGAGATCCAAGGCAAGTCCCAAATGATCTAATAATCTATAGGGATATATTACTTCTCAGTTAGTCATACGTTTTCTTCCATTCAAGTAGCAACAATGCATTTGCTTGTATTAACCAAATTGTGCTCACTAAGGGCTAGCACCAGAGCATAAGCCAAAGATCTACCTTGAGCAAGGAGCATCACATTGTTTTGCTGCTCCTGGAGCAACCTAGGACTATGCACAATTCCTGTTGTCTTTTAGTAGGAGTTGAGGGTGTAGAGCACCTCACAGGAAGCATCTGGCACTTTGTCCCAAAGACAAGTCAGTGGAGGCATTTCATACATATTACTCAAGGAAGGGGAATTTTCATTTTATGTTCAGTTCACTTCTTTTTTTTAAAAGATACTTTTAATGTACAGGAGAAACTCTGCAGCTAGTCCTGAAGGGGAAATTCACAATGTATGGCCAAAATAAATTATGGGGGGAAATCAAAATATGTTTGTGGTACGTTGGCACTTTTGTTTTAGAACTCAGTTTAGTACCGAGGTTTATTTTTCATTTACTGTTAAGGAGGGTTAAAAATAGTTTTGTACTTTTCCACAAATGTATCTTTCATGGGGCTAAATTCTTCCCTGCCATACACCCAAATGGGTTAAAGTGGTGATTAACTGGATTATTGGATCAGAACCTTATCGTGTGTAAATGAGTACAGCTTCACTGAAATCCAACACAGGTATCCCCGTTTATACCAGCCGAGGACCTGGCAGCCAGTTAAGTTTACTAATATTAACATAGTATGATAAAGCTTTATTAAATCTATAAAAAAATAAAACCAAAACAAGAATTACCTGGCCCAAGTGGTGTTTGGCTCTATTTTAGTACATGATGGCTCAGAGACATAATATACTGTGATTGGTGGTGAACATTGACGCCCATTGGCCTTTATGCATACACTCTTGGCCTCTTTGCGTCCAGGTGGGAGAGAGACTCTCACATGTGTGTCATTTAACACCTTGCTGACTTGTATGCTGGAAGAGAAAGAAAAACAGTGCAGATGTTTTTGCAGCATTTTAACTAGGTCAGAGACACTCAAGCTGTGACTCTAGAGCAGTGGTCTCCAAACTTTTTTGATTGTGCTCCCCTATCAGTAAAAATTTTTTGAGCATGCACCCCCTGCCGCGCTGCAGGGCCAGCTCTACCATTTTTGCCGCTCCAAGCAAAAAAAAAAAGTGCTCGGACTCCTGCCCGAACTGCCGAAGCAAAAAAAAAAAAGCCCCACTCGGACTTCCGCCCGAACTGCCAAAAGTGGGTCCCTGGGTCTGATCATGCAATGCAATCCAAGTAGCATTAAACAAACTGACAGAAGCCCCCATCACCTCTCCATGTTACTGCAGGCAGGCCATAAACTGAAGAGACGGAGAGAGGAGAAAAGACTCCCAGAAAGAAGAAGTTACTCACCTTGTGCAGTAACGATGGTTCTTTGAGATGTGTGTCCCTATGGGTGCTCCACTGTAGGTGTATCTGCGTCCTTGCACTGCTGGTTGGATAACTTTGTTAGCTGTCCGCCCTGCCCGCACATGCGCTGCTCCTCACCTGCCACGAGGCTAGCCAGTATGTGCGGGCGACCCTCCTCAGGTCCTTCTCTACCACAGAGTCAATGACAAAAACTCCGAAGTAGAGGGGAGGAGGGCGGGTCATGGAGCACCCATAGGGACACACATCTCAAAGAACCATCATTACTGCACCAGGTGAGTAACCTCTTCCTCTTCTTCTTCAAGTAGTGTTCCTATGGGTGCTCCACTGTTGGTGACTCCTGAGCAGTGCCCACCGCTGGAGGCAGGGATTTTGGAGTCAAGTCTGATATGGATGATAGCACGGTAGCACCAAATTTGGCATCTGCAGCTGAATCACCCAGGATGGCATAGTGTTCTGCAAAGGTATATGTAGATGCCCAGGTCGCTGCTCTGCAGATTTCTGATATAGGGATACCCTTGGAGAAGGCAGCCAATGAGGAGATCGACCTTGTAGAATGCATGCATATTACAGAGTGAGGTGTTACATTGCGCAATTGGTAACAGAATATAATACAGCCCGAGACCCACTTGGAGAGTCTCTGAGCTGAAATCGCTGTACCTTTTGATCTATCTGCAACGGGGAGGAAGAGTCTTGGAGATTTTCTGAAGGCTCTTGTCCTGTCCAAATAGAAGGCCAAAGTTCTCCTCACATCAAGCATGTGAAGAATGGCTTCCCTATTATCGTGTTGAGGTTTGGGATACAAGGTTGGAAGCTGATTTACGTGGAATACGGAAGTCACTTTGGGAGTGAACTTTGGATGTGGTCTAAAGCGTGACCTTGGGGATGCGCCATTGGAACTGCTATTTCCCCTATCCTTCTTGAAGAGCTGATGGCTATGAGGAACGCTGTCTTCATGGAAAGGTGAGGTAATGAGCAAGTGGCCATAGGCTCAAATGGCGGTCTACCTAGTACTTTTAGCACTAGGTTGAGATCCCATTGAGGAATGGGAAGTGTAGGTTGTGAGAAGAAGTTCATTATGCCCTTAAGAAACCTCTTTGTAGTTGGATGGGAGAAGACTGAGTAATCTTCTACCTGTTGGTGGAAGGTTGCAACTGCTGCTAAATGGACCTTTAGTGAACTAACGGAGAGTCACAATTTCTTGAAAGCCAACAGGTAGTCCAGGATTACCAATAGGGTGGCTGTATAATGGGTGACGCCTTTAGGTTGGTACCCTATCTGGAATCTTTTCCATTTTTGCAGATAGGTACGACGAGTAGTTCCTTTCCTACTGTGTAACAGCACCTCCTGTACCTCCTCAAAGCAAGATGTCTCCATGTGCTGGCACCACGAAGGAGCCATGCTTTGAGCCAGAAAACCCACAGATTGGGATGAAGAGTGCATCTTTCATTCTGCAACAGGAGATAAGGAGTGATTGGAAGAGTCATCATCGGTGGATATAATGCCAACTGTGAGAAGTAAGGGTACCATGTCTGTCTGGGCCATGTAGGAGCCATGTGGGAGTAATCAGTATGATGTTTCCTTTTTCTCCAGGAGCTGTAGGCAATGTCTGGCTAAAATCTGGGGGAAGGATTGTACTATCGCTATCAACGAGGAGAGACTATGGAATCTGTGATATGAGAGGAGCGCCTTCACCTGAACAGAGTCGAGGTTGGCTCCTATGAATTCTAGCCTCTATACATGTGTTAAGGTCTATAGGCCCAGATTCAGAAACAGATCCAGTGTGGTCTGGGTGATTCATTGGGCCTCTGTGAAGGACCGTGCCCTGAGAAAGCAGTCATCCAGGTAAGGATAAATCAGGATGCCCTGAGAGTGTCAGTGGACCGCCACTACCAAAAGGACCTTGGAGAATATCCTAGGCGTCGATGAGAGGCTAAACGGGAGTACACTGTACTGGTAGTGGTCCTGGCCCAGCATGAATCTGAGGTAATGTCTGAGACTCAGTATGACAGAAATGTGGAAGTAGGTGTCACGGAGTGTGGGGGGACTCGGGGCCCTGCACCCCCGGCTTCCTGCGATTCACCATGACTCTCAGCCAGCCAGTAAAGCAGGTTTATTTAGACGACAGGAACACAGTCCAGGACAGGTCTTGCAGGCACAGACAACAGGATCCCCCTCAATTAGGTCCATCTTGGGGTCCTCGGGCACTCCAGCCCCCTTGGGAGGTCAGAGCCCCGTCTGCCTCCCAGCCATATCACCAGCCAGCTCCCCTGTCAGCATTCAAAAACCACAGTAAGAACAGTCCCAGTTCGTCACAGTAGGTATCTTGAAAGTCAAGGGCTGAGAACCCATCTCCTTTATCTAATGCTGGAATAATCATTAATAGGATAACCATCTTGATTTTCTGTGCTTTGATGCATTTGTTGAGTGCTCTGAGGTTCAGTATGGGTCTCCAACCTCTCTTTTTCTTTGGATCAGGAAGTAGCAAGCGTAGAAGCCTTTGCTTCTGAGATGTACGGGCACAGGTTCTATGGCGCCTATGCTGAGGAGAGGGTTTACTTATAGATGTAGTAGACTCTTAAGAGAAGGGTCCCTGAAGAGGGACAGGGAAGGGTGTTTGGAAAGGGGGTGGGAGGAGAAATGAATTGCATATCTGTTCTGGACGATCTCCAGCACCCACTTGTCAGAGGTTATCTGTTCCCATGTGCTGTGGAACGGGGAGAGATGGTCTCCGAAGGGATGGGCAAGGTTTTCCAGTTTGAGATGGTGAGGAGAGTGTTCTATGGGCACCTCGACCAACCCGTCAAAATTGCCACTTCAAAGTGGAGGGTTGAGATAAAGTCAGTTGGGGCCCTGATTACTTTCACCTGGAGAACCTCAGCTTCTTCCTCTGTGGCTCATAAGATCTTTATGATGAGTAGTGAGATGCATATTGCGCTGATCAGGGCTTGAACGGTGGCAGAGGACTGTACTTTCTTTTATAAATGGGAGTAGAGATCCCAAAGGATCGAAGAGTCGTCTAAGAATCCTTCAGCATGTGGAGAGACACGTCAGTCTTCTCTGCGAATAACTTTGTTTCCTCAAAAGGAATATCCTCCACCGTGGTTTGGACTTCTCTAAGGAAGCCGGACAAATGAAGCCACAAAGCCCGTCTCATCACAACAGCCGTGGAAATTGATCATGCTGCTATGTCAGCTGCATCTAACACAGACTGGAGGGACATCTTAGCCACCCGTTGGCCCTTGTTAATTATGGTTTTGAATTGGTCCTTATGAGAGTCAGGGAGTGGGTCAATAAAGGAACAGAGTTTTGGGTAGTTCTGGTAGTCATATTGTGCTAACAAGGCTTGGTAGTTTGCTACATGGAACTGGAGGGTGGCAGAATGTAAGATGTCCACCAGTTTGTGATGGGACTTTGTCACTTCTTCTTGTAATGGTATTTGTAGGGCTTCTGCCACCCTCTGTGACAAGTCCTGGAATAACTTGAAATCATCCGTCATCAATGGTGGTGGGGGTGGGGTGGATCACCATCTCATCTGGTGAGGACGATGAGAGATGGGTTTGGGAGTGATTTCTTCTTCCACCTCTGCCTCAATTTCTTCCCCTTGTCCTGGGGGTTCAGAAGCCCTCGAAGCCACAGCTGAAGAAAGGTGTCTCCTTGCTTGTTGGTATGCCATGCTGGAGGCATGGAAGGTTTGCTGCCTCTGAGCCTGCCAAGAGTCCCAGTATGGCCATTATGGTGGGTAGGGGCCCGGCGGCTGGTAGCATGGATGGCCAAACCAGGGAGACAGTGGATCAGGTGGGCAATACGCCTGATGCCCATAGTGAAATTGGGCCCAGTATGGCAAGTGAGAAGAGCATGGGGAACCCACTCTTCCTTTTCACTTTCCAACTCCAATGATAATGGTGGTGCTATTTAATGAAGTTGTGTAAAGCAAGGAGACCTCGGTGAACCCGGGGCTCTGAGTGAGTTAGGTACCTGGGCTCCAGTATTAAGTAAGTGTGAATCCAGGCGTTGGACAAAAGATCCGTCACAAACCGGAAATCAGGCAGTGCCGATAGTGTCAGTACTGGCAGTGGTTGTCAGTGCTGAGCGGCTTGCACCAATGGAGTCGGGGATATGGACCTGGCTGCAATGTCCGTCGGTGCCACGTGCACCGGAGTCAGTACCGGTGCAGATGTCCGTACTGACGGAGCCTTTCCCAGGGTGGATCTTCTGTGTCTTTCACACTTCTGCAGTACCAGTGCTTCTTTGCCCATGCCCATTGGGTCCTTGAGCAGTCCAACTTGTTCTGTTGGCTTGGTACTATGCGTTCCCTGGGTACCAGTTTTAGCCAGCTTCCGTGCCATTGGTACTGATTATATTGATGGAGCCAGGGATTGTTTTCGGCTCGATCTGGGCTCACTATGGGCACTCACAAACCTTAGTGATCCTGTGAGTGGCTAATCTCTCTGGGCTCACTTCCCTATGACATAGAAAGTTGCCTTGAGAGTTCCTGCCGGGATTCTGGGGGTTGAAGGGCCAAGAGCAGGAGTTTAAGCCTTATCTCTCTCTTTCCCGGACCTGGGCTTCAGTTGTTGGCACAAGTTACACTTTTGTGGAATGTGCTTTTCCCCCAGGCAGTGTCCGACAGTTACTGGGATAGATTCCTTGCAACTGAGGCACTTTTTGAAGCATGGAGAGATGGCATACCCTTGTCCTGAGGGTCCCCCTCAACAGGTTTGGCAGGAGGCAAATCCTTTCTTCTTCATTTTTCTTTCTTCTTCTTATTTTTTTTAGGCAAGGCCAAATAAAATGCAAACAAGGAAACAAAGGAAAAAAGGCTTCAAGGGAAGTTAAAATTAGCAAATCTAAAGGGAGTTAACAATCCGTGAAAGGACTGCTTTAGCTATGTCTCTAGCCAAGGGTGGTTGAGAAGGAACTGAGGAGGGTCACCCGTGCATGCTGGCTAGCCTCATGGCAGGCAAGGAGCAACACATGCGCAGGCAGGATGGACTGCTACCAAAGTTCTCTGATCAGCAGCGCAGGGATGCAGACACACCTACAGTGAAGCACCCATAGGGATACTACTTGAAGAAAAAGGGGCAGGAGGAGAAGGCAGCTAGTCAACTGAATGAAGAAGTTGTGTGCCACAAACACTGCATTGTGGCTGTTTGATGAAGTTGTGTAAAGCAATGTCCGGTTTCCATTGCACAATTAGCATGCATCTCTCAGTGCCTCTGAAGTGACTCTTCAAGATTGAGTATCATTAATCGAGGGTAATCTAGTCTATTTCACTACGGGTTACACTGTGCAATTCTTATTCACATTGGTGAACAGGCACTTACACAAACAGTCTCACTGAGCACTGCACACTCTATGCACTCAGTTGTCACAGAAGTCTCCAGTACCGGCAGAGTTCTGAAGCAGGGTTGGGATTTGTTGGGGTGGGTCAAACATGGCGCAAGCATTCCTATGCCCCAACTATTTTCTGCCTGCTGCAAAGCCCAGAGGGGCAATGGCACCTGAGTACGAGACAGGGGAGCCTTCAGAACATCCCTTACTAGTACCAAGGGCTGAACCAGGATCACTCTGGCAGCTCCAGGATCCAGAATCAGACGTGCCCCTCCCACCTGCCCACACCATCCCTTGGGCTGTGCACTAATGCAGGGCTGTATTTCCTCCATTGTTTTCAGTGGGAGTTGAGAGCCAGAGCACCTTACAGGATGTGTTCAGCACTTGGCTAATTAAGGGGTCAGTCATGTAAATAATGGGCCACATTTTGCCCTTGACTGTAAGTCAATGAGAGCTGCATACTTGCCTGTGCATCTAAAGGCAAAATTTAGCTCTGGGGTATGTGTGTAATTTTCACTGTACTAAAAATATAAACATAAATATTTGTATTATTTGGACTCACTTGTCTTGTTTGCAGCTACTGGTTCCAGTCAACACCACTGTAATGTTTGACGCTTCTGTAAAGTTTGCTCCTTTGATTATCACGTCTCTTTTACCTAACACTGATATCCATACAGATTCTATGGAAATATTGCAGAGAGGCTATTGGAAACAAAACAAAACCTGGTTAAAAAAACAAGCTATTGAAAAAAACAAATGTTGAGCTTATGCATTTAAAATATTTTTAAATGAATCAGAATTCATCTTTCTTGTTAATTGTAACATATTTGAATCCGATCCTGAGAGGTGCTGAACAACAACAACTCCTTTTCAAGTCTTCTAATTTTAGCAATGTTAACGTTTGCATTTCTACTGAAATAAAACTACCAACAGGAAGTGCAATCTAACATATTGATAGATATGTATCACAGAAATCCACTTTAAAACGAAGCTTTATATGTTACTGTTCCACAATTCAGAAAAAGCACAACCTGAAACAATACCTGTGATCACTATAACTGAAAGAGTTCAGAGAAACAAACGGTAACTCTAGCCAGTGGTATGGCTGGCTAGAATTCTAGAATGAAAAGACAAGAAACAGGATAAAGCTGGCTCATGGGACACTTTTTAAGGCCATACACAGGTTTTTGAATACTATAGAGCCACCTTTCAAGGAAAAGTAATTTACATGTGCATCCTCCTGTGTATAAAAATGACAATATGTGTGGTGACGTCCCAATAGCTAGCCAAAAATGTTTTAAAGAAACATGGCCAATTTTAATAGTCACATTTCTTTCTGGACTTCTTATTTTTACTTACTATTGTTAAAAAAATAACATGTTCTCTAATTATTTCAGTTTGTTTATTTGGTGCATTTGACACCAGAGTGTGTGTAGTTAGTTTAGCTGTTTCCACTGTATTATAATCAGTTAGTCAGTTTCCTCTGTGCACATTATTCATGCAACAGGGGTGAGAAAAAAAATATCTAAAAATATAGGAAGGTATGACTCTAAAACCACAAATTGGTTGGGGCCTTCAAGGGTAAATGATTTTTAACTATTTTTTAAAAGCTAGTTACATTACAAGTTAAAAATGACCCTTTAGGATTTCGAGTTTTGTGATTATCCAAATTTTTAATGAGTCTGTGGGCACAACCATTGACACACTCCCTTGCCCGGTTTAGAGCTTGGTTCAGCATGGCTGCTGAAATATCGAAAGCTTCTACCATATGTTCTCCAGCTCATTTTATGCATGTATGTCTAGAAAACATTGCTAATTTATTCGATGAGAGCACACTGTGTTCATCATGATTTGCTGCTTCACCTCTCTACTCTCAGAGCAGTGTCATTCACACCAGTGTTTCCTCTCATTGTTTATATCCATGTGCAGAACGAATTTTGTTATGTGCACCAATATGGAGGTGATGTGTGACACATCACCTTCATATTGGTGCACATAACAAAATTCATGTGGTGGGGATGGAGCTGAGGGATTTGAAGAGTGGAAGGGGGCTCAGGGCTGGGGCAGAGGGTTGGGGTGCGGGGCAGGGGCGAGGGCTCTGGCTGGGGGTGAAGGCTCTGGCCTGGGGCCGGGGATGAGGGGTTCGGGGTGCAGGAGGGAGCGCAAGGCTGGGGCAGAGGGTTGGGGTTTGGGGGGTGAGGGCTCTGGCTAGGGGTGCAAGCTCTGAGGTGGGGCTGGGGATGAGGGGTTCAGGATGCAGGAGTGGGCTCAGGGCTGGGGCAGAGGGTTGAGTGCAGGGGGTGAGGGCTCCCCACTGCAGCTCAGGACCGGGGGAGAGGCGCCTCTCCCCGGCTGTGACAGCTCCGGCAGGGCTGGGATGGGGCGAGGGAGGGGCTCCTCTCCCCAGGCCGCGGCAAGTCCGGGACAGGTCCATGCTGGGGCTGGCAGGGAGGGGTGCCTCTCTCCATTGCGGCAGCTCCGCACTTGGGCTGGCGGGAAGGGGCGCCTCTCGCTGCCACAGCCCTGAGCCCCCACGCAGGGCTTAACAGCAGCCGCGCAGCTTAAAGGGAACTTAGATTCACACCTCTAATGTTAAAAGAATTCGAGGTTGCTTAAGCCCCAAATTTGAACCACTTATGCTGTCTCTATATGATTTTATGGTTACAAAGCTAACTGCACCTCTGTCCCCTCTCTGTGTGCACCCTCAGGTCTCAGGATTCTCTCATAGACTGGGCCCTGGGCTATAGTATTTTATGGATGGACCATGCTTACCCAGCAGGTCTGACTGGGCTCGGCACTTGTGATTCTTTCCTTCGGGAGCTGTGACAAATGGATTATGGTTAGGGCCCTACCAAATTCACAGCCATGAAAAACACATCGTGGACCATGAAATCTGGTCTCTCCCCATGAAATCTGGTCTTTTGTGTGCTTTTACCCCATACTATATAGATTTCATGGGGGGAGATCAGCGTTTCTCAAATTGTGGGTCCTGACCCAAAAGGGAGTTGCAGGGGATCACAAGGTTATTTCAGAGGAGGCTGTAGTATTGCCACCCTTACATCTGTGCTGCCTTCAGAGCTGGGCGGCCGGAGAGTGGCAGCTGTTGGCCAAGTGCCCAGCTCTGAAGGCAGCACCCTGCCACCAGCAGCACAGAAGTAAGGGTGGCAATACCATACCATGCCATCCTTACTTCTGCGCTGCTGCTGGTGGTGGCTCTGCCTTTACAGCCGGGCTCCCGGCCAGCAGCCACTGCTCTCCAACTGCCCAGCTCTGAAGGCAGCGCCGCCGCCAGCAGCAGCACAGAAGTAAGAGGAGAAGTACTGCAACGCCCCCCCCCCACCACCACAATAACCTTACGACTGCCCTGTGACAGATTAGATCACAGAACCCCCCTTGGGAGCTGCCACCCCATGTGCCAAGACTACTTCTACCCCTGCTTTCCCTGCCAGCTCAGGACTCCAGCACCCTGTCTTGCTGAGCCAGACACTCCCGTCTGCTCCAAAACAGACTCAGGGTCTGAATTACTTGTTCCAAAGCTGCAGGTTTACCTGAAAGCAGCTAACAGAAGTGTTCCTGTCTTTAACACTCAGATGCCCAACTCCCAATGGGGTCTAAACCCAAATAGTGAGTCGGTGTGGCTCCCCTCCTGCCTTGCAGAGGGAGCCCCTTGCAGGCACCTGAGTGGGCGGAGCCACCACTGCCTGTTCCCGCCCCCCGGAAGTCAAGGGGCGGGACAGGAAGTATAAAAGCCGGCTGCCAGAGCTCAGTCAGAGCCCAACCGCCGCAAGGAACAGGCATGCCGCCGGGAGCTCGCGGCCGGGAGACCTCTGAGACCCGAGACGGTTGCCCTAACTGGCTGGACCTGCCCCGAGCCCACTACGAGGAGGAGACGCAGGAGCCCCCCCGCACCCAGTATTGGGAGGAGCCATCAGGCCTGCCTCGCGCCAACTACAAAGGCGAGGAGCCCCCAGAGGGCCTCCGCCCCTGCTGTTATCCGGAGGAGACGCCCAAGACCCAGTGGCCAGATTTCCCTGAGGAGCTGCCGGACCTGCCCCCAAGCCCCGGACCAGAGGAACCGATGCTGCTGGACTGGCCCGAACCTGGCGTCACCAACGAGGTAGGCCCTGAGGGGGAACACGGAAGTAGCCCGGGGGTAGCCGACCCCGGTCAGGCTGTAGACACATGTGAGCCAATGTCAGTGTGTTTCGGTCAGGACACCCCACTGACCAGCAGCGGCAGTAACCGCTGCTAGGGCCCCGGGCTGGGACGCAGTGGAGTGGGTGGGCCTGCGTCCCCCCCTGCCACCCCTGCTCACGGGTGGCAGGCTCCCCCTCACCTGAAGCTCAGGTATAGGGACCTGAGCCCCTGAACATACTGCTTGTTTGCTCAGTCCCTGCCCCAGAGGGCCTGAGCCCCGTAACTGACTGGTACTCAGCCCCTGCACCAGAGGGCCTGAGCCCCGTAACTGGCTGTTGCTCAGCCCCTGCCTGAGGGCCTGAGCTCCCTGAACTGTGGGCCACTCAGCCCTGCACCAAAGGGCCTGGGCGTTGACTGTCTGTGCTTATAGTGAGTCGGTGTGGCTCCCCTCCGCCCAGGAGGGTCGAGCCCCAGCACAAACCTACTACACGTGGTACCAGAAGTGGGGACCCTTGAGCCCCTGCCCCTGTGAGAAGGGGCTAGAAGGGGGAGTGGCCGTTGCCCCCCCCCCGTTTGGCAATAAGAAAGGATGGACATGGAGCGTTTGTTCCAGCTGCTGGCCGAGAGTCAGGAGCAGCAGCAGGCGTCCCAATTGCAGCAGCAGCAGCAACAACGGGCCGCTCAACTCGAGCAGCAACAGCAACGAGATGTCGCCCACCGCCAGCTACAGCAGGAGCAGCATGCGGCCCAGGTGGAGCACCAGCAGCAGTTGGTGCAGCAATTGGCAATCCAGTTGCAGCAGCTGCTGGTTACGCTCCCTCGTCCCACTGGGGAGCCAGCGGGGGAGAATGCGGGGACGCCCCGTTTAGCTGCTCCCTTGCGACTGACCAAGATGGGCCTGGACGATGACCCTGAGGCCTTCTTAGTCACTTTTGAGCGCGTGGCCCTTGTAGCCGGGTGGGCCCGAGACCAGTGGGCTACCCTCTTAGCCCCCTACTTGACCGGGGCGGCCCAAACGGCCTACCGCGAGTTGGCGACCAAGGAAGCCCGGGATTATGACCACTGAAAGCCGCGATACTTGACGCTCTGGACGTCAGCCCCGAGACCTTCCGACAACGGTTCCGGAGCCAGACCTACCCTCCTGGGGCCCGGCCGCGGTCGGTGGTCCAGACGTTAAAGGAGGCTTGCCGGCGGTGGTTACAACCGGATGCCTGGACGGCGGAGGAAGTGACTGAATAGGTTGTCCTGGAACAGTTCGTCCACACCCTGCCCTCCCGAGGGCGGGCCTGGGTGCTCTGCCACCGGCCGGCGACGCTGTCTGCGGCTGTTTCATTGATGGAAGATTTCCTCACCGCCGAAAGTGCAGTGGGCCCCACCTTTCGACGTCCCAATGCCGGGTCCGAACCAGCCCGCAGTGATAGGAAGGGGGGCACCCCAAGCAAACCTCGGCACCCGGACCGCCGACCCGACCCCCACACGGAGCCCCAAGTCGGGAGCACCGAATCGGCCCCTCGGACAGGGCCAACACCCCCGGGCCAGGGGCCCCCAAGGGCTCGGCGGAGCCC